TAATCCGCGAGTCTACGGCTCTGCTACCGGGTCTGCACACTAGAGAGTTCCCCCCAATTCCAGCAGAGTGCAAACCTCCGGGCCCACTTTTTTTTTTTTTTTTAATTCCCCTTTCCACCCTTTGAGTTCACACCGATGAACTTCCAGGAGAATCCAGAGTGGAAAAAGAGTAAACCAAATTAACCTTTATTTTTTAGAACCTGGGGCGGGAGAGGGAGGAGTTAGGGAGCGCGGCTCCCAGCTGACCATGCGAAGGATCCTAGCTGTGCGGAGACTCTGCGTGGAGACAGCGGCGAATTGGAGGCTTCAAGACTGGCTGTCGCCCTCAGGCCCGCTGCGGCCAACCCTGTCCCCGATGCCTACCGAGCGCCTACTGCGAGCCCAGAAGAGCTGAGTGCCGCCCAGAGCCGAGCTCTCCCTCTACCCCAAAATAGCATCACCTCCCTTGCCACCACGAGGAGAACGACTTGCTCAGGGGCACCCAGAGTCAGGATTCTATTCCCCCGCCCCTCAGCAGGGATGGGGGTTTGTCCAGGTTCCCCATCCCAGCGGGCTCCTTCTGGGCGTCCCGGGAGGGCTGGCGGGGCCTTGGAGCCAATCCTCCGCGGTAGTCTCCAGAAGACGCAAGCCACAGCAAATGAAGAACACTCAGCGCAAACTGTGCGCCCTAGCCGGTACTCGGCGTCAGGTTGCCCGGCCCTGCCTGTCCGCAGCGGGGCGCGAAGGTCCCTCAGGCGGCTCGCTCCAGACCGCGCGTCCCCTGCTCCGCAAAGCGCTGCCGCGCGCGCCACCTCTAAATTGTGTTTCCCAGAAACTTTGGCAGAGAATAGACGTGAGCCGCAGGGTTGGAGGGGGCACCTTTCCTCCCCACGTGGCTTTCGAGGCCCGGCCTAGAAGAAGCGGCGCGGTAGTGGCCGGGATGGGACCTCAGCTCCCGGCGAACGGGGCACGGGACGCAGAAAGGGCGTTTGGGAGCTCCTGGTCCCGGCGCGGGTGTGGGCGGGCAGCTCCTGGCCCCTCTGGACCGGATGGGGGCCTTTTACCTAGAGTTGCAGTTCTAGGGTGAGTGGTCCACGAGGTTTCCAGAATCGGCTGCAAATTCTCCTGCTCCGCGCCTTTGCTTCTCCCGG